TAAATATTTTAAAATTCAAACATTTCTGTCTGTGCACGCTATTGGTAGCTCATGTTTTAAACTAGTTGGTCTGCACGTGGGAGCATTCATTTGATTCGACGATGAGCAATCTTCTTAATGTGTCGTTGCATGACCTTCAATTGTTAGTTAATATAAAAAAACGCTAGCAAAAGACACCTAGAACCGGATTCTTTTACAAAGCTCAAAACTCTGTTTACGAAAAATATGCGCAAACGAATCATATATATAAACAATATAGATAAAAAAAATCTTACAAAAAATAATAAAGGTTATAGGACCTAAATTTCATATTATTTTCCAAGTTTTCCTCTATTCAAAATTCCTTCAATAAATGTTTTTAAGCTAAAATGTGTTTACAAAATCGTTCAAAAAAAAAAAATTAGCATTCATTCTTAAGTTCAGCAACGCAACAATTTACTGATATATTAAAGCACTCGTCAGTGGCTGCAGAGCTCAGAAACTGCAAGAGATTAAGAAAGGAAAGAAGATAACGGAATACGGATCTATAATATTAATGAATTATACTTATAATTACTTTTGCTAGTAAAGCCACCATCTAAAAACATTTGGAATTCGGCAACAAATCAGAAAAATCAAAAGACATTAACTTATGCATATTTTTTTAACGTTATTAGTACTCTGTTGGGTCCAAAAAGTTTTGGCCTATCAATAAAAAAACTTGCCCATTTCACCCATTAGTTTTTTTCGACACAAAAGAAGTTTTCCCATTGGTCTAAAAATCCTGATTACGCCGCTGTAAGAGTATTCGTAATTTTTTGTAGTCAATCTTTGGTTTTTACTCGAATGTATCTATACAACTTTTGTTCAAAATTTAATTCTCTATCGAATGGAATGTAAATCGTCTGCCAAAGTATGTATACACACCATCTAAAATGAATGATTCTTTGACTCATAGAAGGTCCAATAGGGTCTATATAGCTGAGTATCAAAGTAAGGGAAAAGCTTGACCGATCAAGTTGAAACTTATAGGAGTGACTACTAACTCGGAGCCCTACAATTGCTGAAAGTTTCATGTGAAACTGCTTATGTTTTCTATAGGAGCCGATTATCAAGGCAAAACGTCTCCCGTCCTTTGGATCCTCTTCCACAGATCGTGACAGACAGACAGAACGGCTCAGGAGAGAAGCAACGATTTTAGAATTTTTAGATTTTTTAAATCTCTAAGGATCTTGTTCAGTCTTTCGGGATGTTTTTAGACTTCTGAGACTTTTTTTGAGATTTTTGAGGCTTTGATTACCAGCAGACAATTAACGGTCATAAATGCATTTTGACGCTTTTTTCACGTGTTTATCGACAAAATTTTTACGTTAAACGCCTCTTAATAGTTTATCTCTCAAAATTCTGGCCGAAATCATTAAAAAGGCCTTAATATCGTGTTTTCTCGGGAAAAAACACATTTAAACGATTTTTTTTTCGCTTAGCTGTGGTTATCAAAAAATAAGTTGTAACTTGAAAAATTATATTATTGTAACGTTTGCAGTAAGTAGAACCACTATCACGTGCTAGTTGCTAGCTGCCAGTAGTTGTTACTACTCATCTATTGCTAGCAAGTAGTAAGTAGTTAGTTTAACTAGTCTACAGTATCGATATGTGATAGAAAATATTTAAATGACGTACCAATCACTAGTGAATAATAGATTTGCTAATTCTTTAAGTGGTAGTAAGTGTTGGTATTTATCGCTAATTAGTAATAAGTAACTGATGATGACAATGCCTATATGTTACTAATGGAAAATGAAAGATTAACTACGGTACTTATTGCTGCTATGTACGAATTGCAAAGAAAGTACTTTCCACTATTAATAAACAAAGTTAAAGTAATGAGGAGCATAAAAATCTATTTGAAAGAACTCTTCGTAATGTGTCTCTATCATGGTTTTAGACATGTTCTCACTGTATCTTCTCATCAATGTCTCTGTGTTAATAATTAGACTATCAGCAACAGACATTCTATTGACTTTTTTCAAAGTACATAATTATATCATATTGTCCAACGCCTGTTTATTGTACTGCATATTTAAGAAAGTTAAGTCTAGTTTGATTGTACACTACAATACATTAATGAGTGAATGGATAATAATAACGTTCAAATCTTTATATGGCACTTGAATAATTCTCCTTCGATTGTCCGTTCTTTTCTTTTTCATATGTTCATTTATGTTCCATCTTATTTAGACAGTAGTTATCCAGCTTAGTTATCGACTTAAGTTCTACCACATAGTTAGAATTAGTGTACGGTTAGGTATAAGTAATGCATACCTGTATTGTGTGTATGAGAAGAAATATTCAACTCAGATAAGTTTGTTTTCTGAAGAAAATCTGTCAATATGATAGAAAGAATCAAGCATTTAGTGTATCGTTCACAATGGTGATCTTTTTTTTTTTGAAAAAGTTCTGATATTGATTAAGATACAATGATCAATATCTGTAAGTTAGACAAAATATAGAGGTGAAAATCACTCCTTAAGAATTAGATTGACAGTATTCTAAAGTTATTCTTCAGTTAAAGTGTTTAATGAGATATTTGAGAGCGTTAGAGTTTCAACTAACTATAAAAATAACTCTAAGTCTTCGATATACATCGATTAAAATAACGATAAATTTATTGTTGCGTATCGAGCGAAACATTTATCAGTAATTATAATTCGGATTGTAGTTTTCTAAGTATTAGAAGCTTGTTATATGATTAGTCACTCACCATTCTCTCTAGTCAACCTTTGAGTTGATCTTAATATTAAACCTTTATCCATTCAATAATCCATCTGGTCAGTTACTTTAAATGTGAAACTTTAGTTTCTTCGTATACAAAGAATTGACATTAAATCTGCAAAATACAGAATATTTTTTGCTTCATTGTTATACGATCTTGTATTGTAAATGACATTTTAGAACTCAGCTACCTGATATTTGAAAAATAACTTAGTATTGACATTTTTCAATGTAATAGAATATGTAAAGCAAAAAAAAACACATAGAGCAAATGAGATTAGATTTCAGCTTTTGAAAGAATGAATAAAAAAGAAACGATAATCTGAAAAAGTAATCTTGTCCTCAAAATTACAATAAGTTGTCTTGATGTAGCTGCTTTTCTGGGCTCAACACAAAGCAATTACAAGATGTCCCAAAAGTTCCTATCCAAAAATGTTTTTCCATATGATAGGTAACACCATCAAGTTTTTATTTCTATGAACAAACTAGAAAAATGTTCCTTAAAGTAATTATGATCGGCCGCGTTACAAAAATTTAGCCTTTTTTTCTAATTTCCTAATAATATTTGACTTCACTATTCGAGATTTGAACAATTTAAAGATCAGAATGATTCTGGAAATCGAAGTGATTACAAAACAAGCATTGCCATAATATTATTATAGGACCAGAAAAAATGTTGAATTTTCGTATTTTACCTGAACATAATAAGCACTTTAAAAAGCACTTTTATAGTTTGTCTATAGAAATAAAAACTTGGCGGTGTCACCTATCATAAGAGAAAAATTAATTGATAAAGGCCAATAAATGAAGTTATGCGAAAAAAAAATTACCTTCGATGATAAGCATAATGTCTATATTTCATTGCATCATACGACTCAAACGATCTGAAGATACACATCCTGCACTGCCCAGTGGCCACTCCATGGAAGAGAAAAATGGACGTGAATGCAAAGAATCCATGAGAGCAAACAGTATTAGCAGTAGACAACGTTTGAACGAGTAGAACAGCGTGTAAAAAACTCGCAGACAAAAGATAACATCGATATGAAAAGATGAACGTGAAAGGAAGATTCAAGTTCAGGCTAATTTCACCATCAAAAGAAAAAAGCTTTCAGCGTAGTCCTTACGGGATTAAAATGTGGGTGTGGTAATGCCTTCTTTCTATCAGCACCCATACTAAATTCATCTTCATTGTCTTTTATCACAACTCCAATGAACGATATTTGGCTATGATGCCTCATTGACACCGATGCTACTTACCCATTTATACATACATCTACTTTATCTAGAATCCAACACTTCCCCATTATGAAGGTGAAAGAACAGCTCGCATTCACGGATGGAACTTACTGCGATTATGAATGCATTCCCATCTGTCGTCAACTACAGAACATACATCCCGATTGCGAACTCAACAAAAAGAACTTGCCACATACTAATTCATATGAACATCAGATTCTTCACAGTTCAACCATCCAACCTTCAATGTTATCATATTAGAGTGCATACGCACAATGATTATGAATCTCTTCAACCAGTGATCGAACGACAAAAGCAATGCCAATTGAACACTTCTGATCATATGGATCTCGATTTTGATTGATTGCTAGACTATATGCACGATTTCGATGGGAAGTCAGTTATTCATGCTTTATTAAATGCTCGAAAGAATTCGAAAATGTCTAAAAGCAAAGGGTGGACATTTTCTCTAAATAAACTTTTGTTCGCCGATTTACTTCAGTTAACATCGTATTATTGTGAAAGAAAATATTAACATAAATGAAGTCTTAATTATACACATTTTCGATTATTCTAATGAGTAAAACATGCAAAGAGACTTGTTATCTTTCCTTTTCTTTAATGGAGATTTTTAAAGTTATACTTAACAAACAAAGAAAAACATTTTAAAACTCGTGTAAAAATTTACTAGATACATAAACTCAAGTTTTACTTCTGATAAAAGAGATGTACGGAAGAATAGACTTCTTCATTTTTCAGTTTACTAACATCGCAATAGAGACATGGTTGAAATAGAAGGTGTGTTTAACTACGAATATGATAAGAAATAATAATAAAAAAAACAAGACTAACTGAAAGATAAAGCATAGGTTCGAGCATATCTATGTTGATAAAAGTCCGAAACAAACTCATGTGATGCAGTAGGTCAAAGAAATAATAAATATAAGACGCGAATTATACGAACACCATTATTTCTGTATACTTATCTTTTCTATTTCTGAGTATCTGCAATGACGACTACTTTAACTAAAACAGAAACAGCTGCATTTATAAATGAAATAGAAGCTATATATGAAGAACCTTCTATAGCGTATAAACTTCGTGCAACATCAACATGGGTCACTAAGTCATTTAAAGAACGCACTATTTTAGAACGTCTAGCCTCGATAGATCTTGCTAGTCAAAAATGTTATCAAGTTCAACCGAAAAATCCAAATCCACCACCAATACATAATATTTGGCTTGAACGTTTATGGTTAACTTGTACGATTTCTCCAGCATTGATTATTCAAGCTCTTTGGTATCATTTTGTACCTAAAGATAATCATTATCATACATGGCATCCTCTTTTTGCATTCGTTTTTTATTTTTTGGCATTTTTTATTTTTACCTTACAACTTGTTGGTCGTACTCATTATTACATGAAGTATTATGGTACTTTTGATGAAGATAATCGACCACGTGATTATGTTCCAGATAAACTAGTACCTCGATTTATTATCAGTGTTCTTATTTATCTATTAGCACGTACAGCTGGTGGTCTTATTCTTGGTGGCTATGATCGTAATGAACCACCATCACTTGGTCATACTATTTCATGGTTTTTTATTATCAAAATTGGTCTATGGTTAATTATTTTTGATTTTTTCTTTTATAGTTATCATCGTACAGTTCATACTGTTCCTTTCTTATGGAAATTTCATAGTTTACATCATTGTACTAAACATCCTACTCCAATACAATCAATTCTTGCTGGTGATATACAAGAATTAATTGAAATTTTCTTAATACCACTTTTTACTTCATTTGTTTTTCATTTAACAACACATGAATTTTGGATTGTTCAATGCATACTTATTTATATAGAAGCTGGAGGTCATTCGGGTATACGTGCTTATTTACCACATGTAATTTTATATGAAGTTCTACAACCATTTGGTATGGAACTGTGTGTTGAAGATCATGATATACATCATCGATATGGTAAGAGTGGTATGAATTATGGAAAACAGACAAGAATTTTCGATCGACTCTTTGGTACATTATGTGAACGAGTTGAATGTGTACAGAAGTAAGGTGGATGGAAAGGTTCACAATAAACATTAAACAAGATTTTGTTGCAATGTTTTGTATATAAACAAATTTCTGAAAATAAAGAATTTCTTTTGTTTTTTATGAAAAATACTTGTATGACAAGTGGTGGTCACCTTACGGATTCGCTCATTGTTTATTGAAAGAAGACAGATGCCACTGTAATCTACGAGAAATGTTGATCGAAATCTTGTAACAGTTAATCAACCTCTGACAGTGACAATCATTGCAGAAAACATTTCGAATTCCTTTCAAATTTTCCTGCAATAATATCTCCTCTCTGAGGTTACAAACTCAGCTCTGAGTCCGCCATTAGGACTGTTTCCGGTTCACGACTCTTTTGTACATAAAGTCATACTGCTGCGTTGCAAAAGCTATCTTCTACAATCTTGATAAAAATCTTCCTTTCGATTTAAGTACAACTTTTCGCATATCTACCAGCTTTTTCCACACAAAATACGCAGATACAGAATTCAATTTAATCCTCTCTTACCTTTGGCTTAATCTGATAGTTCGGAAGGTCAACTCGCTCACTAATATCAACCTTATGAGCCCTAATATACACAGGAAAAAATGTGAACCATATACAACAAGCTAGCCTTTCGTTTATGAATTATGGTGCATACCATAACATTATGTATTCAAAGAACATCAAAAATATTATTTTTATGGTAAAGAATAGTTTCAAACTGTTGATATGAAATCCTTTCCTAAATGTCTCATAGTTTAAAAGAATCAATTTTTTATAAAATAATATTTATAAATACCATAGGGTAAGAAAGGGTTAAATTTACAATATTTCTCGAATCACAACTTCATTGTCTTCATCTTATTTTTGACGATCCATGGCACACTTATTATTCTATTTTGTCAGAAATGATTGAAAAACGTATCTCATATCCAATCATGATATTTGAAGTAACAAGAGGTTCGTATACAAGAAATAAAATTACTAAACAACTCCATCTTTCAAATAAAATTTTTAAAATAATCGATTAGTTCTATATTTTGTCTTAAAAAAAAAAGAAGAACGTTTATATAGTGTTCTCAAACTGAAGTCTTATCTGTCTGATTAACAATAATTGATCTTCACGGTCATGTATTTATTTTTAGGACATCAATATCAACATTGGAAACGTAGAGAAGACTTGTACGATATAAAACATCCACTGAATTGGATACACACTGTACGCTTGACTCTTAGTTTACAACATTCATCTGAGCTTATTCTTCTCTTAATGCCTTCAGCTTTATCATTACTCGAACATTTAAATGTAACTATCGAACAGCCACGAAGGGATTTAATATCTAAAAGAGGCCAATCAACAGAATGTTTTGAATTATGCAAAAAAGATCTCTGTTATACAAATGCTGCTGGTACAAAACTTCGATCATTTGTTTTACGTCAAATAGCATTCGATGATCTTTTGATTTTATTTAATACACTCACATTGGTTGATATATATGATAAATGTAAGTGCAATGAAATAGGTAAAACTATGGTAATAGAAAGCGAACCTAACTGTGAAAGTTTCAGATCGCATTGACTACTAGTTAAAACATTTTCATAGTTGAGATTAACCTACAACTGTTGTTCTCTAGTCTTGAATATTTATTAGCTGTTTGAAACAAGAGAAAGAATAGCAAATTAGAACTTTTATTTTTGATATTGTCTTATTTTATGTTTTTGTTCGGTTCATTGCATTGAAAAGTAATATGCAAAGAAATATCAAAAATTGATGTTGTGTTTATTTTTTGTTTAGGTTTAAATAATTTGCTAGCTTTTCAACAATCGATTGGTCCTTCAAATTTACTTACCCTTAAACACGATCAATTTCAATTTTTGCTTCGATTTCCCGTTAAGTACGAGCATGAATGGATTCGTAGATATCATAAAATTGGATGGACATTTGATAATGTTGGTTTTCATGTAGATGAACATATTGTGAAATTGCTCGATTATTCCTCTCCGTTAGATATTATTTAAGCTGTATTTTTTCTCTACTCGGTTCCTTTTAATCTATTGAAACATATGCGTACTGTACACAATTATGAACTTTTTACTCGTCATTCAACAATAATTTGAAAAAACTTTGTTTGTCAAAACATGGAATGGCTATGCAAATTGACAAACAATGAA